GCGTGCGCGGGCCGTTTGCTGCTGCTCCCGCCTTCCCGGGAAGCAGCGGGGACGCGCCGGGAGTTGGGGCCCAACCCCCGCCCCGCTGAGCTGCCCCCGGGCTGTTCCGGCACCCCTGTGACCTGTCCGTTCTTTGTCCGCTCTCCCGGCACAGTCCGAGAACACGTACCTGTGCCAGATCTACAACCTGACTCTGCTCTGCATGGAGGATTACGTGGTGGAGCCCCAGTCGGTGCAGTTCCTGGTGCAGCACGGCTTCGACTTCAATAAGCAGTACTCCCAGGGGATCCCATACCACAAGGGAAACGACAAGGTACAAACCCAGCTCAGGCTGCTGGGAGGGCACTGGCTGCCCCTGCTTCTGAGTGAGGATGGGCTCACACTGCGGCCCTGAGGGCAGCATTGTCCCTGTCACCTCCCTGCTGCTTCACACCCAGGCTGTCGCTTGGTGCAGTTGCTTTTCCAAGTATTTGTGTCTGTGTTTGTTCAGAGCAGGCACAGGCTCTGAGGGCTCCCCAGGGTGGTGGCAGGTTGGGGTGCTGAGGCTCCCTGACTGATCCTTCCTCTTGCAGGGCAACGAGAGCCAGAGCCAGGGCGTCCGGACGCTTTTCCTGGAGCTCATCCGGGCGAGGAAGCCACTCATTCTCCATAATGGCCTGATTGACCTGGTGTTCCTGTACCAGTGCTTCTACGCCCACCTCCCCGAGAGCCTGGGCACCTTCACTGCCGACCTCTCCGAGATGTTCCCAGCAGGAATATACGACACCAAGTACGCTTCGGAGTTTGAGATGCGCTTTGTGGCGTCCTACCTGGAGTACGCCTACAAGAAGTGGTGAGCATCACTCTGGTACTTAGAGATCACAGGGGGAAGTCACTGTGTATTTGTTTTTCCAGGCAAGGGGGGCTGTGTCCTTTCATTGTCCCACTGCCTGTAGAAAGGTGCTTTTCAGGTGACCCATGCTCTGTTTCTGGTATGGGTGCTGAGTGCACAGGGGTGCACTTTTTAATACACCTTACCTCTCTGTTGGGTAGCTGCTGAAAGAGGATTTCAAACCCAGTACCAGCAGAAGACTGACCACAGTGACTTGATCTAACTGAGAACTAATTGAGTCACTGCCTGGTTCTGGTCCAGCAGTGCCACAGGGTCACAGCAGAAACACACATCCCCTAAGAGCTCAGAGAGCAAATCAAAACAGGGCTGCCCTGCAGGGTCTGCTGGTTATAACTCTATTTTGTGAGGGATGCTGCAGTTAAAGAGGGGGTGCTCCCTGCACCTCCTGACGCTGACCAGCTCTGCCACACACACTTGCAGCCTGCTCTGAATCCCATCACTGCCTTCCAAGCAAGGGTTGTGCTCTTGTTCAGGACACCTGTCTTTGCTTTGCAGTCTGGCCTCACATTCTGCAGTCTCCACACAATCTAAACAAGCCCTTGGCAGTGATATACAGCTCCTGGAATCTCCAAAAAGCTCAAGTCACGCTCTGCATAGAGGAGAAACAGTATTTTTAGTGACTGTTTTATCTCAGGAAATGCCACTTTGACAGGTCTGAAAACATTCAAGATGGCTGTTCGCAAAACATGGGAGTGCTTTGTTTTGACAAGATAAAAATACTTTTTAAACTGACCTCTTAAATGTTTTAACCCACAATTTTAGTTTCATGGAGCCTTCCAGAGGTTTTGGGCCTTTAAACCACCTCCTGGGACAAAACAGAGGTCAGATTCTTTTCTCATATGATGGAAACCCTTTCCTTTTCTGCATTGCCCAGGTTCAACCTGCCTGGGTGGTGATGCCTCGTTTTGGGGTGTTTTTTCTTTGTCCATTAACAGTATGAAGACCAACAGATATGTTGGTTCCCTTAGTATTCAAAATCAAACTATGTGCCACCTTCTCCCATAGTTTCACCAGAGACAGTTTTCCCTGTGTGTATACTGGCATAAGAAAAAACAACCTTTAAATCAGCACAGAAGCAACTACTTACTCAAGCTGCTCTCCCAGGATTGAATTTTTTTCCAGCAAGCTGTGTAGATCAGGGGCAGGAAACTTGTGGATCTGGGACTCAGTGGAGAGCAGGGAGTTCGTGCCGGCTCCAGGCCATGGTCCCTTTGTGAGTTCTCTGCAGTAACTGTGTGCTCCTGTTTGTTCCAGCAAGAGGGAGAACTCCAAGCTGAAGGACTCCAGTGGGCAGCACCTCACCGTGGAGTTCTGCAACTACCCTGCCAACATGTCCCGATACATCGACTATCGCTGCTGCTCCCTGGAAAAGGAAAGCCACAACATGGGAGAGGGAAACAAGGTGCCTGTCTGTGAGAAATTTTCGGTAAGTAACCTGAATCCCAGCTTCCTTCATGGCTCCATGGAAAGAGGCACACCTGGCCAGAGCAGGAAGTGGTAGGGAAGCACATGGGAACCTCCCCTCGCTTGTTTCACAGCGGAAGGAACATTTTCAAGCTTCAGGTGGCTTCGTGACAGACAGGGCAATAGCACACTCTGCTTGGGAGGTGGGGAATTCTGCAGGCTATGTTAGATGGAAAGATTCAGAAGGAGATTCTATGGCCCTAAACAGCAGGATGGTGTGAGTTACAGTACCCATTGCTTTTGGGGGAGGGATGTGTTTTGTATATATTCTGTATTGGTTGGGCTTGTCCCTCAAGCAAGAAACGCCACCTCTACCCTCCCCCGTATCTTGATTAGATATTAAAAAAAATGTTACCTGTCTGCAGCTTCTGGCACTGTAGCACAGGGTGACCCACAGCACCTCCTGGTGCTGCTACAGTAGCAAACAAAGAGACTGTCCCATCAGA